GAATGACATGTAGTATGTAAAGTGCTTTGAGGGGTCTTAAAGACTGGATAAAGCGCTATATAAGTACAGTCCATTTACCATTTATCAAAAGAAACAACAATGTTTTAACAAATCGTATGAAATAATCTGATGACAGAACTGTAAACAGAATAGCTGAAACTGTAACTAAATAAATAACTCAGTTACCTCTAATCATTAACCCATGTTTGTATAATGTAGTTAACTCTGTGTGTCGCTGCTAGCATACATAACACCTGACGTGGAAACGTTACTCGTGGATGGGGCTACAGAGCTGCTAGAAAGACAGTCGAACCCGGTGCATTCCTCCGTCTGGATGTGGTGCACTTTTGCTAAATGTTTAGACAAACTGCTCGTGTTACCGCCCTTACATGCTAAACTCTTATTGCACTTTTGGTAACGAGCATTGTCCACATCGAGACGGGTAAAGTTTAACCACACCTCGGAGCGCGTTCTCTCCGCCATCTCCTCCGTGTGTTGCTGCATGTAGCAGCTGCGTGTGTGTAAACTGCCCCGCCCCCTCGCACACAGAATAAAAATAAAAATAATCATGGACGCATTTTGCAGTCTTTTTGAGTATTAGAAACGGAGTTGGCGACACTAAAACTGCAATATAATGTTTGTGTAGCAATAATACATATGACATATATTTGTACATGTCTTCAGTACCGATAAAAGACAATAACGTTGGAGCTTAACGGTACCACGGTCCCGTTTAATACCGGGGCTCTGTACCCATCCCTAGAAGGCAGTGATTTTTCAAGAGGTCTCCTAATAATGCCTGTCCAAATATGTATCAGTTATTCAATAACCAATGTATAACTGATCAATTTTAGAACCACTTTTCCTTCATCCATGTATCTTTATAATTGTTGAAGAGACATTTCCATTTAGTTAATTCAGTTGCACTTAAGAAGTGACTGAACCAGTGCTGCTAATGTTCTCCCCTCACTGTGTATGTGCATCTCTCACCCTGTGTATGTGCATCTCTCACCCTCTTTACAGATGGAGGAGGGAAGTCGCAATGTGCCCCTTGGCACTCTCATTGCCCTCATGGTGGAGGAAGGGCAGGACTGGAAGCAGGTTGAGATGCCCCCTCCAGATGCTGCAGCTCCACCTGCAGCTCCACGTGCTCCAGAGGCAGCCACGGCCCCAGTTGTGTCTCCTGCTGCCCCCTCTCCAGTTACTCCCCCAAAACTGGCCACATCAGGACCGTGAGTGTTGCCTTCCTCTGTGTTAGCTGCTGATGTACGAATTTGCCTAATTTCTTCATTTAAACTTGCAATTTAGCCTTAAACAGGATTCATATGCCTCCCATTTCAAACCCAAAACTAAAATGTTTACCTCTTAATTAACATGATCTTGTCATAGTTGTTTTAATATGCCCACAGTATGAGTCAGTTAATTGTCGTTTGAGTTGCATATCAGCTCATATGGTTAATGCAAGATTAGCTCTAACTCAGGCCATGGTAAGGACTAGTGACACGATACATAAGGTATTATCTTAAGCTCTACCCTTTTGCCATACAGCCATGAGGATTTCAGGTCGTACTGTATTCACCTGTACATAAAGCACGATGAATTTCCCCTGTTCACATTCAAATGTGTGTGAGATCCTACCTACCCTGTGTACACTATAGATACTCTTTTGGAAAGCATAAGAGGCACCACAGTAAAAACAGGCCCTATTTGTTGTGCAAACATTTTACGCTGAGCCCTTCCACATTTCTGATTTGCACCTCGACTGCATCGGCTTGGCAGGGTTGATAGATGAAAGATGGATGAGTTGCGGGGCAGGCCAGATTATCAGGCAAAGGATACTGAGATGGGCTTTATTACAGCAGTCAGGTTAAGTAGAACTGAAACAGAAGATGGTATCTGAGCTAAGCTAAAGGTGCTTTGACGTTTTAATGAGCACACAGTCAGTGATCTCCTAAAGCTAGACTGAAATGCTTAATGTAACCTTTTACTGGACCAGGATTTCATTTGGTTAATTGGGTACCCACTATTCTCTCTGCGAAGATAAATACATTTTGTGTTTTTCAATGATTAAAGCCATAACCATTCATGTTTGGCCGTTTTAAAGCAAACGTTGGAAGTTAAAACTATTATAAAATGATTCCTGACTCTCTCGTCCTCATCCAGGTTGCGCCTGAGTCCAGCTGCCAGACATATCCTGGACACCCATGGTTTGGAACCTAAATTGGCCACAGCCACAGGACCAAGAGGACTTATCACCAAGGAGTGAGTACGGATGAATGGATTAGCTCTAAGACCTGTTAAGGTCTGCTTAATGAAAGCAGGTATGATACAGAACCTCCCTGCTGACATTTACCAACAAGCAGACATCAACTTCATCAAGCCCAGTCTGAGGTTATAAGACACAAAATAATCTTTCTTCATGTTGATGAAAATAGTTTTGACAATTTTCTTTTGCTTTATTATGTAATTCAATTGAATTTTATAGGATTTTGAGGTGGAGTTTGTAATTATTTATAAAGTCTATTAATGCTAACACGGCCTATCGCACACATAAATTAAGAGTTTTTAGCAAGATACGTTTTATCATTGACATCCTGTTTTGATTAGTTTATTAGCTTTTTCCTTTATTCCGGTGAAAGAAGAGAGAAAGCAAAATGCTCATCAGGCCATGCAGACCAATCAAACTGGTCAACAATTAATGATGAAGATATTAGTCTTACGCTTATGGTGTCAAACTTCTTCTTTTATTTTTTTTATTTACAGTGATGTGCAGAGGTCGCGTTAACCGTATATTTTCCGTCTATGAAGGATTTTTTTTAACCTTGACGGAAAAATCTGAAAGCCGTCCGTCATTTTGACGGATTAGAACAAACTCAGAACAGCGCCACAGTTTCCTTGCAGCGAGGCTCCGGTGTTATGCCGTGTTATGCATGCCAGCCCAAAAGGAAATTATACAGTTTCCAAACCTAACTTTGCCGAACAGATCATTGAAATCTCTGGGAGTATTTGCTTTACACTGTGCGCGCTCCCGCGAGGTGCAGTGGACATGCATAACACGGCGCTAACAGTCCCCTGTTGACAGTTCACGAGCGTGCACTCTCCCTAGCGCAACCTCTGGTTTTAAAGTTCCCCAACATGTTCTAATGCTTGATCTATTTTAGACCAACACTTGCTTTGGGCATAAATATATAATGTGTAAATAAAATTGCGCTTGACAATTGGTCAATAAAATGTATTACGTGTACTTTTTGTTCTGTGTTGTCTCAATGTGTTTTATATCAGAATTGTTATCTTCATTCAGACGATAATGAAATAAATGAATACAATGAGTGTTGGTCTTACC